ATCAAAGAGCAACAGATTCTGCCCTCTGACTTGAAAGCAAAGAAAGAACTTGAAAAAGAGTTAAGAGAAGAAGTCAGACCCACCATTCAAGAGAATGGGCTTGATGGAAGGGGAGATGTCACTGAGTCTGTGACTAAGATTAAAGAGGAAGATACAAAAGTGCCAGAAAAGGAATGTCAGCCTGAGACAAGTAAGCAACCACTAGCTGAACCCAAGGCTGAACAGAAAGATATCTAGACTGAGAATAGGAAAATTATATATATAGAAAGACTGAATTATGGGTAAAATTTAGAGTTGCATGCATGTGAAAAACTAGTCTAAGCACTGTAGAATAATGAATTGTTTAAAGATTAGTCTTCCATGGATATAATGAATAAGCACCTTTTGATGCATGAATCTATTACCATCAGTTTCAACAATAGTGAATGCAATTCCAGCTTCAATGTCTAAGAATGACCAAGAAAAGAAAAGAAATGACTCAGTAATTTGCCGGAGAAACAATAAATTGAATCTGGTCAAGTATTCCTGCTCCATCTGCCTCTGTTGTTCAGTATATTTCAGATATGCTGCACGGTTCACTATAAGTAGAGGAAAACCCTGGAAAAACATGTCCTGTAGGTGTGTGTATTGTGTGTGCACCTGCAATCAAAGTTCCTAGTCTTAATTCCCAGATTACCTTGATTAACATATCAGCACACCTGTGGGAGCTGTCCATATCGTTTTGAATCATTGTAGGTGGGTATCAAAAATAAATTCTGCTAGATTTTCATCACAATTCTGAATACTTCAATAACATGCCACTGACAAATAATTGCTGTTCAAATCCAATTTGGAATTAAATTGATCTTAAGGTGAAAAAGACATGGCAGTACCTTCAGCAGTATATAGAAAACCTCTCCTAATAGCACATTTGTTTTTCATTTGTCAATGGATGATTAAATAGGTGTAACATCTTATGGGAATTTTGCCACTGCACACTTTGCACCTGAACCTCCAAGACAAAAAAAAAAAACGCTGTCAGTTGCATTCACACATGAACATACACAGCATATGTGCAGAAGCAGCAGAGGGCTGCAGTTCTAGGCTTCTAACAGCAAGGTCACACTGCTCCAGTGAAAGACCCACTTGCAGAGCTGCTACAGGCAAAGGCATCAGCCAAACAAACCAGCAATTGTATGTATTTTAAGAGTCCATTAAAAGATGGTATTTCTGGAACTTGGTTGTAATGTTTTTTCAGTCTAGTGCATAATAGATCAGTCCCTTAGAAAGCTCCAATATTGCCTCTGCAGTGCAGAGCAGCACAGAGGAGCCACAGTGAGAGCTGACAGTGCAATGCTCTCTCCACTCCAGCTCCGCACGGAACACAAGCCCAAGCCCAAGACGAGACTGTCTACAGTTTTAAGGAAGCTTACGACAGGACCGTCCAGCCCCTCAACCCCTCTCCCACCCAAATTAACATTTTATGGAAGAAATGTAAAAAAAATGAATCCCTCATTTTGAAATAGAGTGCCCTCTGGTGGAAGAACTAAGAATAGACACCCACAGGAAGGGAAAAAGATGTTCAGAACTTTCCCTGGTAGTTCAGTTCAGGTCACAAAAACTTCAAACAAACTTTCAGATTGGTCTTTGTAAAAAAAAATATTTACAGGTTTCAAAGTGATACACAGTGGAAAGTGTGTTAAAATGTATATTTCATGACACCAACACCTCTATTTTTTTTTATATTTCCACCCAACCTTAATATGAGTGCACAGCAATTTACAATCTGATATTTATCAGCCCTTTAACAGATAGCAAAGATCTTACAGCACCCAATAAGAACCTACTTGAACTACAGTGCCTGAATGACAGCCATTGGAAGATTTCCACATACTGAAGATCGATTTTGGAGGACTCCTAAACTCACCACCTTCTGCTGCAGGGTGCAGACAGCAGACATGGGTGGCATTGCAGACATCAGACCCCACAGTAGCCCTAGCGGACAAGTCCTAACAATTATTAAATAAATGGATCTAGAAGTCACTGCGACATCTGAGAAGCAAAAATAGGATCTTTCTTTTCAAGGTTGCAAAAGAGCCTTGTGCCCTTTGCTTGCTGGGATAGGCTCTGGGGCACCTGCAACCCAATACTGAAGAAGTAGTTAGGAACAGGCTGGCTAAATGCATGGATGCAGCAGATCTTGCAAGAAGGCCCTTAAACCTCAACCCCTTTCAGACATGTTGCACAAATAATCATATTATCCCCTTATTCCATGCGAAAACTGAAGTTATCCTCTTCAAGTGGGACACCCTTTGCCTCCTGCTCAATGTTGTATTTAATTATTAACATTTAACAGCTTATTGGCTTGCTCTGCAACTTATCCTGCATACAACAGACCATTTTGGATTCAAAGACTTTATTGAAAAGTTAACATACATAAGAGGACTTCCGAGGTTTATCAGCAATGCCTTTGCCAATCAAACAGCATGATGGGGACACAGACGGCTTTAGTGTTGACTTCCATTTTAACAGAGAAAATCCATTCTGGCACAAGTTGACCTTAATTCCCACATTGAGGATGACCGTTTTCAAAGCACAAAATAAAAGCAGGCTCAATTTCCTTATCACGTACTGTCGGTCTCTTAAACGATTGTTAAATTGGTTACCTTAAATTAAAAAAAAAACGCACTCCCAGAAACAGGTCGTTTGAAGAGGTTTTAGTGTTGAGTCTTAAGCATACTTGAAGTTTCCGAGAACTCCTGATAGCTGGATTAGCAAAAAGAACAATATGGCTAAATCTTGACCAAGGAGCAAATAAAAACCCTCATTGCTTTTAAATAAAGACGCTTGCTAAAATACTTCATTGCACAAGGAGATTTTCCATTCTGCAGACAGCTCAGGAATATCGAGAGAGCAGGTTAGCCCTTAACCCCCGCCACCAACCAAGACCACCCGACAGACCAAATGTTAAAATAAACATAAAAGCAAAACATGCACAAATGTCCACTTTTGATAAAGGTGTATTTCATTATGATGGCAGCGCACAGACTGTCAAATACATTGAAAAGTATAAATGTATGACCTACTACAAGCATCTTTAATAACTAGAAACCAAATGTACAGGAACCAGCTAACAGGCGACCACCTAAGAAGTATTTAAGGTTTGGGTCTCTCGTCACTTCCCAATATCCCTTTCAGAAATCCCCTGCTGGTTGAGTTGGAGATACATTTAAGGCCAAATTCCCGACATTCCCTCTTTTTCTGAAGTTACAGCAGAGCCTCTTTAAGCTTCCAGTTCCAAGCCCAGGCCCAGCTTATGGCCACCAGCATTGATGCTCTTCCCATCCACAAGCGCTGCCAAGGTGAGTTTCACTCCTGTTGACAGAGAATAGAGAGGTGGGTCCACAATAATGCCTGTCTAATCTTAAAGCTCATGGATCCAATGCTCAAAGGGGGGGGAAGGCATTCAAACCTAGTTATTTAGTTTAATTAAACTGACAGGTTTAAAGTGTGTGTGTAGGTGTGAGTGGGTGGATTCATACAGTAGATGACTCAGCTGCACAAACTGATGTACTTTGTGCAATAAATTACTGCAATTTCAGCTCCCTCAGATCTGCTCACAGTGTGATGACAAGGGTAGTTTCTTGTTCAGAATAACCTTCACTATACTTTTAAACTTCACCTTTTTAAAAAGGCATTCACTAACCAACTTCATTGGTATGCTTTAATAGAAATGATTTGCGCTTCAGTGACAACCCACTACTATACAGTTATAGTGATCTGAATTTCATCCCGTCTTTGTATTCACAAAGTTATTTTTCACATAAATCACATGCAAAAATAAAACTCAATATGAAAAGATCATGACTCCTTTAACATATTGTAGGAGTTAAGCAGAATATAATCTGGAAATAAGACAATCACAGAAAGCAAAAATCTCTCACAGGGAGCTGAGGGGGCAGCAGTGATATTACCCATTGCGAGTACATACCTGGCCTCAGGGTCTGAGTGTAGCCTACTCCAATTAAGCTGGTATTATTCACTTTAGCCTGAAAAATAAATCATAGACAAGAAGTTAAATGATATAACAAACTTCCATCTTGCCCTTCACAGAACCACACACCGAAAAACAAGACACCGCCCGAAGTCAGTGGAACAGCAGAAAATTTACCACCACAAGTAAATGGTTAAGGTATGGTCGTATGCATAGCTTTGAGGACAAAAAAAAAAAGTTTGATTTTTATCATGGAAGACCAAAATAGTTGGTGTTGAATCACTGGCTCTTGCTCAAGAAGGCATGTGCATACGAAGGCGATGACAAAAGCACAGATCTGATAACGACTCGCGCGGCGCGGTATGGGACAGGCCCCAGCCCCGCGCAGGACCCGCTGGCGACACTCACGCTGACGGAGGCAGTGGAGTCCAGCTGGTACTTGGCAGCAATGCCAAAGCGCGTGCTGTTGCTGCCCGCGGTCCATGCCAGGTTGACGGCCGTTTCGAGCTTGTCGCTCACTTTCTGGTAAATAGAGCCTCCAAATTCAGAGCCGTCGTTGCTGCAACAAGAAAGACAAATCAAGAGTCCGGCCCTGGGAAGCAAAAGACACACTGACTAGCGTACTGCACTCAGTTTGCGTAATTCACTCTCTGGTACGTGAACGTCATATCTGAAAGTTCTGGATATGTAACCAACGCATCCGAAGAGCTCAAACGCTCACGAGTGACCGGGACTGTTTCTACAAGAAACTTAAATAGGAGCCCTAAGGAGAACCTCAGTTTTTAAATGACGGCGCACAAGAACACCGCAGCTCCGCTCCAGAACACACGACGCCAGCACCGACCGGACCCGGCGGTTACCGAGACGTACACGTTGGTGTGCAGCTGGAAGTCTCCGGTTTTGTAACCCACAGCGAAGTTGTTCTGGGTCATTTTGGATTTGGCCGTGTCAAAGGTCATCTGGTAGCCGGCGAGCCATCCCTCGTAACCCACGACGGCCGCCCCGTGGATGGCCGGGCCTGCAAAGTCAAAGTCGACGTCGCAGCCCAGGTTGACGTACTCCCGCTTGTAGGCGGTCTTCACCTTCCCACTCTTCTTGCTGGCGGGAGAGAAGGAACGGGCAAAAAGGAGGTCAAAGAGCGGTGGCATCGCAGGGATGCGGTCCTGCCGCGCGGCCACCGCAGCGCTGAACAGGAGCGACGGATACAAGGTCAGTTACCAAAGCCTGCTTCTCAGCGCAGCCTCCACAAGTGTCCAACAGTAACAGTCTTCAAAATATACACTTCTACGGAGAATTGAGCTTTCACTCTATTGCTAAAGCAAAATAATTAGGTTTGGCAAAAGAATCTTAATTATATCTTCATTACAAAGGGTTATTTTTTATTTAGTCCATTACATGACCAAACTGAACGGTGAATTCTGTAACTGTACATGAGTACTAAATTATGACTGAAGCGATGCAACGAGTGTGTGAAACATGGTTCGCCCCAAAGGTCTTTTTACGTTCATTCACACATGACTTTCACAGAACAATACAAGGATAAATCCTGCTCGTCACCCTCTGTTCAGAAAACAAGCTTCATCTGTGAAGATTGTTCCGCTTGACAAGGTTTATAACGTCAACTTCAAGTACATTCTGTCAATAACCATTATACTGCAACCATGTGCGCCCAGGCACCATGAAATTACACTTTTTGAGAGATGAAACGGAGAACCTACAATTTAAACAAACTTACCCTGTGTTTGGTGAAAAGGTTGTATCAAATGTCAGCTTCAAACCTTTGGCAATCTAGAAACAAAATTCAATCATCTTTAGTACAAAACGTAAAGAAATCAGACGAGAGAGAAGTTAGGATCTAGCCAGCGTTTCGAAGCCCACCTGGTCTTCGATAGTGATTTCTGTGCCCAGAGTGTTGTCCGTGTTCCACTTCTCCGTGAAGGTCAGGCCGTACTCCGCCCACTTGTACTTGGTTTCAAGACTTCCGATGACTTTGCTGGTGTCCGTGTTGGACGAGCCGGAGGTTGTGAATTCCTGCCCAGGGCGAAAAAAAACTATTTAAAAAGGTCTAAAGAGGGTAGCATCACTGGCTCCATTACAAAAGTCATGCCTAGTTCTGAAAAAGAGGATATGTCACAGGGCGAGGATGACCACGCACCAGTAACACTGGTCAAACATTCCCCCAGCGGTAAGGCCGCGCCAGATCCTCGCGGATCTACCGTACACAGGGAACGTGCTCTTTAAATCCTCCGCTGGAGGTGTAGACAAATCACAAGGGCTGCAAAAATCTTGCCTGACCTAAAACATGATTTGCAACTGCCTGGAGGAATGTAGACCTACCCTGCCAAAAACAGCAGTTCATTAACAGCACCTGCATTCTCGTCAACTACTCAAATGCAATAGTTAGCCACTGTGCAAAAAGTTTTACGCTGATTTTTAGAAGAGTACAAATTGTAGCTGTAAAGACTGGCATTCAATGCCTACATTAGTAACCACATCTTAAAAAAATAACTTCCTGGACAGAAAATGTAAATGTAAACTAGTTATACATTTTTAATATGCTAATAAGCTTGATATATATATATATTTCTTCTTCATGACTGCATTTCCTTGAAGATCAATAACCAGAATCATTTAACTATCAATCATAATATATAAAGGAAAAAATGCTATGGATTAATCAGGTAGTCGAATGAGACGCGTGGACACCTCTCGGGAATTTTGTAAGGGTATAGCTTACCACTCCGCTGGCAGACTTGGTCTTCACTTCAAGCTTCACCAACCCAAAACCTAAAGATGAACATGAGGAACAATGTTTAAGGACTTCCCAGAGGCCCACCAATGTAACACAAATCTCATTACAATACTGCAGGCTTACAAGAGTAAACATCTATGTTATCAGAAGACAGAGATAGAAAGGCGATAATACCATATCCTTTGTTGAAGATATCCCTGGCAGACTTGCCCAGGTCACCATACGATGGAGGAACAGCCATTCTTCCTACAGAATTGAAGAGGACGGCTTGTTAGGAGCCAGAAACACTACTGCAAATTAAAATGTCAAGCTTGGGCTGGAAGGGCAGAAAAAGAAACTTTAATTACACAGTTCCCCAAATCCTTGCTCTGGGTAGTTTGAATATTATTCCTTCACTAACTCAGGCACGTCCGGAAAAATGAGAGGCTGCAGATGATAATACTTGCATCCTTCTTCTGAAGCAATGCTACAAACCACTAGAGTCGGCTCTAATTTCTATATGCTTGACAGCATCTTTTTGAAATTGTGCTCATACGGAAGGCAATATCTTTCTGGAAACGTCCTTAATGCTGATTCACCCAAGTCATGCGGTGGTCACAACTGGATTGAAATCAATGGAGCTTTGGTCCTCATCCCTCTTTCCAGTCTGAACTGTCTTGTTTCACCTGGAATCTTCATTCTACTCATTAGGATGAAACACACAAACTATAAACAAATCTCCACAGTTTGAGTTTAGGGAAAAACCCGATTTCAAATGAAAACTACAGGTAGATTTTTTTTTCCCCCTGTTAGTGTAGGTGACGTTTATTCGAAATGCATTTAAATAATGTAGCTTATGACAAGCCTCCATTAACAAATCTCCGGTGACAAATCACTCATTCCTTAGCTCCCGAGTCACCAGAGTGTCATGCAATAGTCTCCCACTGCTGGAAAGAAACCAGGAAACCCCACAGACAGCCACGCCCACCGGCACCTGTCATTCCAGGAAAGATGTGGCTCCATAAAATCCACTGGAGCCCCCAGGCTGGGCTTTCCAAAGGGCTTCTGAAACCCGTTCGGCCCGTACCCCACTTGGTGAGCAAAGCACAGCAAGCACCTCAAGTCTACGGGTTGATCTTTAAACACTGCTTTAAACTACACGACCCATTCAGATCAAGGGCGTTTTCCTCACGGCACACCTCCTCGTCTGCGACACCTTATAAGACCGTAAGGTCAAACCGAACACCTGGCGGCAGTGACGCTGCAGAGTGCGACAGGATAGTTCAGCGCACACAGATCTCACTATCAAGAAGGTGGCAAGCTCCCAAGAATGCACTGGAGCGGCTCGGTCTTTTCAAGCAAGCAAGGGAAAATAAGTCATTTCCACATATGTTTATAATCTATACATATAACATTTCGACACACTATAAACGAAGAAGTAAACTCCTGATATCCCATGTATACATCCTTGTTGTGATCAGAAATGTTTATTTAAAAAGATAAAAACCAGGAAGATCATTATTTGTATGGAAACGTTCTCAAGCAGAGCTACGGGCACACACAAATGCCCATTCTCAAGCGCTTTGAGTGGGGTGTCCAGAAAAGCACTATATAAGTGTAAGCAATTATTATTATTATTATTATTATTCTCCATCGCCATGTATCAGGTCCTCCACGCACGCTTCCTTCAGCGCGCAAGCTGTTGAAAACGCGTCACGGCCTGACAGACCTACAAATCCGAAGCTGGGCTTCACGGAGGAATAATGGAAGACTCAGCGAGCAGTTCTTTTTTTAAAAAAAGAAAACACAAAAAATAAATTTGGGCCATCCATAAAGAAACAAAAGCATTTACACAGCACAGAGCTGGAAATAATCGTCACCAAGGACGCGGTTGTTCAATGGAAGCGAACACACAGAGGCTACGACTGGAGCAACCGCTAATAATCCATTATAAGAAAATATCTGGATTATGAAAAACGAACTTTTTTTTCCGCCGGTCCTTCACAAAGTGCGACCAGTTTTTTTTATCTTCACGCCATGTTTCCATGCCTGCCATTATAACACAAACGGCAAGCCATCAGCTAACAAGTACAGCAATAGTTTACAAACACTTATCCAAACACCTGCCCGCTGCAAATGCAACTAATCTACGGAAATCACCCGATCAAAAGCAGGGAACAGAAGAGAATGTGACTTTTAGGCTAACAAGGTGAACTGAAGGCAGCCATCTTGACATTAAAACTACATCCTCGCCTTCTGTCAAGTTCCGCCGTAGTGCAGAGCGCTCCGAGCGCAGCGTCCCTGCCACAAATAATTTACGTGAACTTGAGCGTTTCAGGCGTCACCACCACAAACGACAGCTTTAAACGCTTCTGTGAAGGACTTATACACTCTAGGCTATCCATATTATGTTTTTTCTCAAAACAATTCACGCAGACTTCAATCGCCGGAATATTTTTAATGAGAATTACGCCGGAGGAGACTAGTCTTGTAGTCAAGCCATTACAATACTAAAAATCGCAGCTGTGTGTTTAACGAAGGTAAAAATAAAGACAACGGCCTTATGTGGCTCACAACTGAATAACTACACCAAATGCCATCGGGGAAAAAAACAAGATCTCGGGTTACTGTGGATTGCATGCACCGCACACTGGAATGTCACCCTGTTCCGTCTCCCCAGATAATCTCTTTACAATGATACACTCAGTGAAATGATAAAGACAGAGACTGCGAGACATCCCAACCAGCCGCCCCGGCCCCAGATCTGTGACGCTCCCACATTTCCGTGCAGCAGCGGGAACACCGCGCCTCGTCCCGGGCTCACAGCCCCCACCAGCACCGGGCCTTCGGACGAACCTCACTGGAGCCACCGCTCCTGCGCGTCCTGCCCTCGCTGTCGCTCAGTGCTGCTGGGCTGCAGCACAGCGCGCCTCGCCTACCTGTTTCAGGTGAAGCTTTAAGCTAAACGTCGATCTGTCCGGCTCTCGGCTTTAGTGCAGCGCCGCAGTGACTTCAGCTGGAGGGCGAAGTGAAGGAGACAGCGCCGCACCAGCACCCTGTCATAACCCTGACACACAGGCCCCCGACAGAGGCAGCCTCGCAGCGCCTGACTCTTTCCCACGACCCTCAGCCTTCGCTCTTCCGATAAAGACCATCGATGTCCTATTTTTACATTTGCTTTCACATAAATGTAATTTCGATTATTTATATTTCGGTTGTTTCGGTAACGTGGTGGAGGTGTGAATCCTAACTCACGCTCGGATGTTTCAGGCACACGTTCAGGTCCCCTCACAGAGATCGCCATGGAAACTGTGGCGGAATGGTGTGGCTGCACACGCCTTCCAACTGTCTTTTCCGAAAGTTGAAAGTGTTTTGCATAAGGATTTTTTTTTAGCATCGAGACTGTAAGGTTATGCTAGTCCTCGCTGTGATCGTTTTAAATTACTTGTGCTGGACATTAGGGTGTAAATCTTATGCATTTTGAAACAAACATATCCAGTAAAGGTTAAACGCTGCAGAGTATGTAAAACAGGCCAGAGACGTTTTTAATTCATAATGAAACTGTAAGGCGATCAGTATGTTGTTTCCCTATTATCTCCCAACCTTTTACACGTATGTCTGTGAAAATGAAATGCATATTAAGAAAGTATCCTGGTGGTTATTTTCAGCAGTTTTTCCAGGTTGTGCCACCTGAGGGCATGTCCCCGGTCGATGTGTGACATCACCGTCCGTATTTTTCCTTCCTGCGGGAGCCGACGGAACCGTCAGATGTGTCTGTCTGCAGCAGAAATTCCTAATACAGTCTGCAGCATTTCTTAACGCCTTTACGCGACATCAGTTAGCAAATGGCCTTCCTCATCCAACAAACCATGCCTTTCTGGGGAATTGCATTCAACAGCCATTTTCGAATCATTACCTTTCTGCAGAAACTTTTTTTTTAAATAAGGAAATCACAGACCTGTGTCGAACATAACTACATTTAGAAATTGATATTAATGCATGGATACGTACACTAATGCATCAAATATTTCTTCGTTTGTCCTGGTCATGATTCTTTATGCGTTACTAATTTTTTTTAAACACTAAATGAGTTGATGTTAAAAAGTTTGAATCGTTTTTTCACTATTGTTCCAAGCAAGCAGCAACAAGTAAATTTTAATGCATTAGTTTCCTTGCAGTCATTGTCTCCTTAGGTCCACCAGTGATTTTCCTTAGAATAGGGTGATTCTGATGGTCAGTCCAGTCCCTTGAGTGTTATCCTCCGAGTGGTGTACTTCAGGTTGTTGTGCCATGATGTTAAGCAAGCGGTCATTCAGGAGAATGTCTTTTGTCATTTTCAAGATTTTCTGAGATGTAAAGGTTTTCAATCTCTTCAATTTAAACCTACATCAAACAGGGATCAACATCTGGCTTTATAGCAGATATCTAACGTTTCTGGATAAACATCAGACCCCAGCTTCCAAAAAAAAAAAAATCACTTATTATACCATGAGTGAATAAAAGTGAAGGAACCTACAAGTTGTCTCACTGCCTTTTAATATACTGAATTCTACTGTGATTTGTGTATTTTCTTATAGTGGTGGCTTATACTCATCAATACACTGTTGGGGAATTATTACACATGAAATGATCTTCATAAGTAAAAATAAACCTTTGCCAATTAGGTATATTTAAGATTTTAGCCGAACTGCTTTAGTTTTTCACCATAGGCATTAGTGTTAAAGCTCATTTCTCTGTAAGAGTGAGTATTTTGAAGAATGTTAGTAAAAGGACATTCCAGTCATGAGAAGCAGGTTATAATAATTGACCTTGTATTTCATCGTTCCCATTCAATACACTGCTGGACGCACCGCGGGACCCTCCCCTGTCCAGTGCCACAGCTCTTTAACTTCCTTTCATCAGTGTAGGAAATCTGTGGTAACAGGATATCTAAGGCAAGGGGAAAGCAAGTTGTTTGGAAAAAAATCAACAGAAAACATCAGCCTGCCGGTCAAAACCTTTACTAAGTCCGAGTAAGAATAAACAGGAAAGTGGGGAAAAACTCAACTTTGTCATATTGGGAAAACATCCTTCTTAATTGTCCCGAGACCTCTGCATACACACATCCTGCTGGTAAACTGAAACGTGTTGAAAAGCGTCATTCTTTCACGTTTCACACTAACATTGCCACTAGAGCAGTGCCTGGACATGGGGATCTGTGAAGCCTGGTGAAAAGAGAAAGGACTGGGCTTTGCAATCAAGACTTGCAATGGGACTGGATTGCAATGAAAGACAGCAGAGCCTTTACCAGGGTTAAAGCAGTGTATTGTGACAAGAAAGTCCTCAGCACAGCCTGGAATGCTTGGAACTTAAAGTTCAATAGTGTGGGTTATAAAATACAGGCAATACTGTACGAATGTTTGTGATGCAGTGATTAAGCAACAGAAATAGCAGAAAAAAACATTAAAACAAGAACCATCCTACACCGTGTATGATGGTGGAATCCAGAAACCAAATGGCTCATTATACCTACTGCCGTTTCAATGCCATACAATAAGAAGACCAATCTATTTGAAAAAAGGTTTTTTATTTATTGCAGCAGCCTTATCACAGAGTTGTAAAGCAACAACATGTAGGTATTAAATGGTTTAGTACCCTTTGATAATGCAGTATAACCTTGAGTTATGCTATCTGTACTTCAAAGAGCTGCACCTTTAAAAGACACAAATTTCATCTGCTTTGTCTATTGAAGATAATGTCAAATATACACAAGACACTGAAAAGATGTTAAATTGCAGGCAATGTAATGTTATTGGTATTGAAAACAAAAACAGAACCGAGTAAAAATACGTACACTACCAAGGCAACCAACAGATGATGTACTCATTTTTCTGGTTTTGTTCTGTTCATGTGTTTTGACAAAAAGACACTATAAAATATGCAAGAAAAACCAAAAGTAGTGTCGAGTTGTATTGCTCAAAAACATTTTCATTCCTACATGTACTAACAAGGGGAACACTGTAGCAGTCAGCACTTGCTAATTTCCCTATGTCTACAGGTCTACTGAATACTGCACAGAAAAAAAAAACTGTAAACATTGAAACAAAATCATCTCCCCAAAGTGCAGTTGAGTCAATTACACAAAATTAGTTAATACTTCAAAACGGAAAAGAACTTTGCATTATGTAGTTATTTCAATGTAGTTCTACCATAGCTTAGCTAGTGCTCTTTATTAAAACATTACTTACAGTACCACTGGAGGCCCTTTCTCTTAAATGCATGACACCAGAGTTTAGAGAATGAGAATCACACCCCAATATCTTTAATGGCAACTAGAGCACGTGATGTGCATTTTGATGTTAAACAAGTGAATCAATCTGAAGTTATTCACAGCTGGGCAACCTGGGTACAAAAAGACTATAGTGCACTAAAGTCATCAAGCAACCTGGTGAGCAGCTGCCTGGTCATTTGGAAGCACTCTACACAAGCACTGCACCTCACAAACTATCTACTCTGAGGGCAGCGCAGTGAGGAACTGCTTAATATAATCACGTGCTTCACAAGGAGCACAGCGCTAGTGCAATAACTCCCATCCAAGTGCTGTCAAAATAAATGAACTTTTTAAGTTTTTAATAGAAAATAAAATCAATCAGCTAGAGAAAGGATGCTAAGCAGTAAAGTGTTTTGCATATTTGCATAAGAAAAGGCTTATGGTATAAGAGTGTGTCGTACTTACAGTAACTCCAGCTTAAAAAAAACAGAGGCTCAGGTGTGATAAAAAAGGACTGCATTATACCTAACCTTGCAGCATTTGTAATGTAGGTACGTAAAAAGAGGACATCTGGGAAACTTGGAAGGTTTTGATTATCGACCGTTCAATGTAAGTTTATAAAGCAATAATTCACACAAACGTTTAAAGAAAACCTTTAAACATGGACAGGACTTGATGTTTTGCTATAGGTTGCTTTACAGAAAAGTGGAAATTAAATCCATGCAATGAAGGAAACTGGGGGAAAAAAACATTTCTTTTTAGGAGCTAGAAACAAAGCCATGAAAGCTATGAAAGAACAGATGCACATACTGTATGTAGCTGTCACTTAAGTTAAAATGAACCTTTTTTATAACTGTGGGACAGGGGATGTCTGTAACTGGGAATCTTTCAAAGCAAGGAAATCCAAAATTCTGCAATGAAATAGACAAAGATGACGCATACAGAAAGTCTCAAAGACAGATCAAATGTAATGTAACCAAATATAAGAGCTGTTCCATTACAGAAGCTACAGTGTGCTCACATCATTGCCAGGTTCGAGTTAGCCATTCTCATGCTTTTCACTGTGGTGTCACTCCGATGCAGAGAGGCGATAATCACCAGCCCTCATGACAATTCCATCTTGGGGTTTCCGTTTGAGAATATGCAACAAAAACGACATTCGTACACAGATTTTCAACTGTTACATGATAAAACCTTCCTCAGTTCATTTCAGCATGAGCACCATAGAACTGTAACATCCCCTTGTCCATTGTGTGACAATGCAGAGCTGAATATCAATTCCATCACCCAGTAATAAAGGTTGTAAAATATGTACTGGATACAAATTAAGCAGAAATATTAAATCTGACAGTTTAAATGCAATGCACTTTTATGGTTTTGCTGTATTCTGTATTTATAAAACATTTGCAGTACAGGTGTCTATATGCAGACACATATGCAGGTCAATGAGGGACAGATGCCTACTACCCACCTGCATAAAAAAAATCAGATTTTATTGAATTAAGATCAAAAAGAGCCACAGCTAAATCTTTACCTCTGCTAGAGGAGTGTTTTTTGCATGTGTCTAACCACTGTGCACTGCAGGAAGCACACTCCCAAAAGTTTATCCCTCAAGACAAAAGTATTCCATCTCATTTAGTGCATCACCGTAAACCATTATCACTTCCAGGAATTACTCTGAGTGTTATACCGTTTTTGCATTTTTAAGCAAAATTTCAGTGATTTACAAAATTTAAATAAAAATATATATTTTTAAAAATACTCTATAAATTAAGACACAGACATGAATAGCTTTTTAGAAAATAATGAAAATCCTGGAAAGGCAGATAAAGTCATCTAATCTGAAGTGCACAGCTTTACTTGTAGGTTTCTTTCAAGTGACGTCAAAAAATTCTGACTTTTCGGATAATTCCATAAGCTTCTTCACAGCCAATTTAATTTAGCAGAACTACATACGTTTACATTCTTAATGCCTTATCAGGGCTCAAACGTATAGGGAGCTCAGAGCCATCAATTTTGATCACAGCTCACCTTGTTCAAGTTCGAACATCTGTGATGAAAAAACAGTGGGTATAACAGAACTGTGCAAAGTCCAAATTGGTTAAATAAAAGTTTGGTTTGTTAGCATCAAGAAAATATTTCTATGAATACCACAATGACAAATGGAATAATGTCTAAAGTGATGATTTCTGTTCCAGTCTTTGGAGAGGTTTTTAAACGAAGCCTCCTCTGATACCAGTCATCGCCTGACAGGATGCAGGGTAAGTGAGCTGCAACAGGTCCACATAAGAGAGAGCATTTCAATACTCAAACCAAAGCTGTGCACTGCGGACACAATGATTAATAACTTCTTCAATGTCAACACCGCCACCCTTTTAGTATAACCCAACTTATTCAATCATTTTACTCACTATATCTCAAGGAATGGTGCCACCTTTCTCTTTAACACGAGTTTAACTTGCTGCCATTTCAGCAGCGGTACGTGTTGCCCAGGTACGCAATATCTAATATTCCGTACGATTTTCAAAAATGTCCCCAATAACCAAACTGCACACCGCGGTAAACACGTTTCGTTTTCTCACTTCAATTTGGGACAAAAAAGGAATTTTTCCTCAACAACAATATAGCTCTTCAGTAAAACATTTGACGTGTTATGGGGGAGGCAAGTCGAGTTTCAAGCAGACGGGGAAGAGAGAGAAACCGTGCCCAGGTCTCGAGCTTCTTTCTCCGGTGCAGGCCGACGGTGGCCCTCCCGCAGTCACCTGGAGCGCAGGCCTCTCCGCCTAATAACAGCCGAAAGGGTGTCAACAGGATTTCAACAGGATGTTTTGTGCAAATCATCTATCCCCCAAATAGAACAATTCACCAGGTCACTCTGTAGCTCCTCCGCGAACGCCGTGTCGCGGGCAGACTCGTGCCTCACCTGGGGCCCCGCGAAACACACCTGCTCCGGGGCTCCGGAGCCGGGCCCAGGGCTCTATCCTATCAGCCTCCTCATGAAGGTGGGCCTGGAGAAGGGCCAGCAGTACTCGTTGGGCACTGGCCCGTTGACGTTGCACTCGAAGAAGGAGAACATGGGGAACCAGATGCGGGCCCGGCGGCTCTGCTGGTAGGCCCGGGTGTTCGCCAGCGTGTGGTAGTAGAGGAACAGTCTCGTGGTGATGTAGAAGGCGATGAAGACGTCGATCGAGTAGTGCTCGTGGGCAGCCAGGATGAAGAAGATGCCAAACAGGTTTAAAACCCAAGAAAGAGTGTGTATGAAATTCCAGGTTCTTGGAGTATCTAGGAGAATGAAAGAAGAAAATACATCTTAATGGTTCTTTCCCCTTCTCTGGTTCTTCATCCCAATGTCTGCCTCCCTTTGCGTTGCTTTTGTCTGTTACTGCAGAGTGTAATGCAGAACATTGTCATTTTATTTTTACTTTGAGGACTTGCGTAGTTTGTGGCAGAACCACAATACACTTTGCATATCCAGATCCTACTGTGACCACACTTCACTATGTCTCTGATTTTTCATGTACCGTTTTGCTACATGAACAGTAGTATGTGGGGGGAAAAAAAAAATCACCATCGATAAACTTACACCATGTTTTTCCTGACATTTCATCAGTGATCTAACACTCCATGACAGAACTGAGGTGCTGTTGTCCCAGGAATTAGAATTTTGTGCAATAATGACAAAGACCACCTGATGGCAGCAGAGGCGTAGCAAGACATTCAAGAAACACTGGAACAAGTGAAGGTTTATTCCATGTTGAAGGGAAGAAAAGAAAAACAATGTTTCAACTGTTGGGCTTCCACACCTGAAGAAGGTTCCAACGTTGTTTCTTTTCAGCATGGAATAAACCTTAACTTGTTCCTTTGCAGCCTACACATACTGACGCAGCTACCTACTTAAACTTACTCAAGAAACACTTCCTACTTCAAATCCGGCTATTACATTTAAGGATTTTTACCTTCTAAAACACAACCAGTTAGTAACTGGAGTCACTGGTAAACTAAAACAACTCATCTCTGTGGCATAAGACTGGGGAAGTTTAGATGCATCTCATGTAGTTTGTATTACTCACAGCTTTTTCAAGCCACACAGTAACTGCATGTAGAACAGAGGTATAAAATAAGATATTAAATGTATAAAAAGTGTTCTAATGTCATTCTAACCGAGGGATTTGCAGAGCAACCGCTGCGTACTACTACAGTCGAACCGCTGTTATTACACCTAGAACATTCCGTTCTGCACTTACATTCCGTCACAAAGAAGTTCAGCATTGTCAGAACGACTGTGTGCCCGCTGAACATATAATCGCCACACGTGTGCACCCCGGTCAGTGTCATCCCGAAGCCACTCCAGATGGCCACGGCTCGTCGCAGTTTCGCCCAAATGTCCCCATAGATCTGGAAGAGGCAGAATTTGGGGGGAAATGAACCAGGAAAAAAGTTCTCACTTCAACTGTGTACAATCACTGTACATATCATGGCCCATCCTATTCTGGGCTTCCAGCATGTTTTAAAACGTTTAGAAACAAGTCAACCCAGCAGATTTCTTCCCAGCAGAGGCACGCCGTTACACCAAGGGGAGTGGGAGTATGGAACAAGCTCTCCTCTATGTTGTTAAAGAAATGATGTACGATGAATGTGAATCAATTAGATACTACTTGCCAAATAAACTAGATGTGAAGCCACAGAAACAAGAGGAAGTCATCTTATACTCCAACAGCATCTTCTTTTAACAGATTCAAGTGAGAGTCAAATAAGACTGCGTATACAAAGATCTGGTGAGAAGATAAACCTTAAGGTTTTACATTCTAGCTACAAAAAGGAAAGTGCTGCCTAGCAATTTTTAAAGAAATGTATATAAAGAGAAAATTAAGGGAAAAATGAAAATAATTTCTACCAGAGCTGGAGAAGGAATTCTGATATACTGACATTTGTTATACGCTGGAGCTTGCCTGTAGGACTCGGCAACTGGAACATTTAATAGGCTACATTTTCCATTCAGCCCCATCATTTAACTGCCCAAACACTACATCTTAAAATGTTCCAGCACTTCACAAACGCTCTAACTGTGGGAGCCCTTTTAGTGGAATGACGACTGAAAATCGATTCAAAGTTATACAGGCAGCTTGACGTGGCACCGGGGCAAAATCTTCAGTCGCTAGCTGCGCGCCTCTCCAAATGTGCAGCTGAATCTTACAAAAAGATTTTTTTTTTCATGAAAGCTAAAAAAAGTAAATGGCTTCTCCGTATGGGTTATGGGGATGTTAAAAAAGGATAACAAAGTGGCTCAGTATAAGTGCTCGCCTGAGCACTGGCTGACCACGGGTTCGAGCCTGCGTCACATCACAGCCGACTGTGACTGAGATTCCCCCCCAAGCAGCAGAGTACAGCTGTCTAAGCACCGCAGAGGGTGGACTGGGGTTAACCAGCCAGGGCTCTGGGCTCTGAGTGATTGAGATTTGTCAAAAAGGAAATCCTCTTTAGAGCATTACATAACCAAAATGTTATATTAAACACCAAAAGTAACTGCAGCACTCAGTTTCAGAGCTGCCAACTTGCCTTTCCTGAGCACTGCAAGTGCTGTCCAGGCACAGAGAGGGAGGTGACGAACATCGTGACGCAGCGCAGCATGAACACAGTTCCCATGAGACTGCACAGCCGACGCAAGAGAATCGACCTGCAAGGACATTCCAATGGGCAGAAGGCTAAGAGGCCAAAAAGTTCACAGACTAAACGATACTAAACTTGTCAAGCAGCGTGTCCTAGCGCAAGTTAGTTCTGAACACGAACAGCCCAGTGAACTTTCCAAAGAACGAACCTGGGGACGAAAACAATGGCACAAGGACTATGACACCACTGACTACAACGGAAACAAAACGTTTTGCATTTGAACAATTACTGATGTGAACAAGGCAAGAAAACATCTATTGACTTGAGCTGCAGGGAGCCATTACAGTCCTAAGTGGATTAGTAGCCAGGAGCACATCGCTGTCCCTCACCGTGTACAAAACCGTAGAATGTACTACACATGCACCGCCCCCAGAAAAGAGCTTCTCTTAGCTCGTGTCACAGTACCTGTGTTTGTGAAGAAGCAGCACCAGCAACCAAATATTGCACAGAACCACACCGCAGGCTTCAGCCATGGCAAAGGCCCAAGGTATTCTGGGTACACTGCAACAAAAAGACAAAACCAGAGTTTACCACTGCTAGGCTACACAGGGCGTTCCAGGACATGTCTTTTAATTCATCTGTGGCAGAGGGACATCATATTTTACCACTTTTTGCATGTGTGTCGGGGGATTATATCAGCTTCTTTCCTCTGTTTTTTTTTTACCATCTTTGTGCCTGTGCTCACGCGTCCCAGTTTCCAGCTCTGAAAGCAGGCGGGGCAGCTTGACTTTGCGATCACAGCGCGAGCAGTGCGGAGAGGAAACAAACATCCACCGCATCAGGATTGCAGCTTCAGGACAAGACAAACCTTCAGGCCATTTCCAGAGCAGCGCTGCTGATCTTCCCAGTGTACAGGTTAACCTATTCCACCGGCAGGGCAGGCTTAATCACCATCATTTCACATTCCCGGTGAACACCTGCAAAGTCTGCTCGGACTCATGTCATCAAAAGTAAAACAAGGAGACTGGGCAGACTTAAGACTGAAGGAATTTTAAAATGAGTACTGGGCACATTACTCAGTGTGGGAATTGTTTTGTTTTTGTCAGCTAAGAAACAAAGAGAAATGTAAATGGAAAAGAGCATCCCTACCAGAATGAGTATTGCTCACGTACAAGGCGAGAACAGCCCCTTACAACTTTCTTACACCTCTCTCTCCTAGGGCATGATGGACACAACTTCCCTAAGGAGAGAACCCTTCCAATTAATTCACCGTGAAGCAGCAGGCAGTTCATCCACACGGGACGCAAGGACCTTTGCACTTCTACTCTGGATACGAAGGCATCGGGATAAGATAAAGATTGTAGCCTCTAACATCATTACTTTTCCAAGAAATAAGTCCCCGGGCAGAAGACTGGCGCAGCGGTCATCACGTGCGATTATCAAGGCCTGTATTGTGGCCTCCTCTTGCCAGAACAGGCTCAGACACACCCACAACCCTGAACTGGATGTAGAGATTTAAAAAATCTGGGATGGATGGAAGAAGTTCTTAATGTCAGAGATCATACAAAAGGTAAATGAATACCTAAAAACCCTACTATTTATGACTTTCTCAAGTATTCCAACAGCCTTGGCCAAGGACTACACCCTACCAAACCTTCATGAACTTCTGTAGCATACGTTTACTGGCAGAAACTAGGCGTTCCGTTTAGACTCCAGTTTTAGAAACATAACCACTGTATGCACCCTGCTTCGCCTAACATCAGCCATGCGTCACGACCGGCAGCCAGACTTTTCAAACCTTGGCCTTCACAGATATCCTTGCCGTCAGCTGTTTTGTCTCTCACTGTTTCTGTCCAGGCTTTTGTTTTTAACAGCGTCAAATCAGGTTCATATCATCAGTGTGAGCAGCCTATCCGCCTCACTTCACTTTAAAATACTCAGGCAGGTTAAATAAGAGGCTACTTTACAATACAGCAGGCTGGCAGCCAAAAGAGTCCTCTGTTTTTACACTGTATTGCCGGCATATGCGTTAAACCATGAACGCTTGGGAACTTTATGAATATGTTATAATGCATAACATAATGCTAATTATGTTCATACATTTCTATGTGCGAAGCTCCTCCTGAAATCTGATTGTGTCGTGGTACACAATCACACAGTGATTCACACAGTGCCCAATCCACTGTGTGAGTGTAGAATACTGGAAGAGCAACATGAAAAACTGTGCCCATCCCACATTTGCAGTTCTCGAACTATCTCACTCTGGTTAAAAACGCGTTACTTGCCTCGCGCTTAGAAATTCACAAAAAGGTGTCAGCCAACCTTCAGCACTAGTTCAAAGAGCAACTGTCACACGAACTTTTGGATTGTGGGAATGTGGAACAGATTACACAGCCAAGTATCTGAAGCTGATAAAACAGCACGGCGCGGTCCTCAAAAAAAAGGACACCCTTTACAGAGATGGCGGCAGGAGTCTGGAAGGAGCTGTACAGGCATGCGTTTAAAGCCAATACCCTTACTTCTTACGAGAAGCAGCTGGAGGAGATCCTTGGATCCATCAGCTACGACCTATCTCACAGGCCAGGTGGGCCAAAAGGTTACAAACCAGAGGCCTCGGAAAGCCCCTGCAGGGCTTCAGGCTGCAGAACCCGCCACCCGGGGGGAACACCCACCTGTCCAGGAAAATGTCGGGCAGCGGCGGGTAGGTGCGCATGTCGGGCACCCGCTCGTGCACGATCACCATGACGAAGGACGTGAACCCGAACACAAAGACGACGTACACGCAGCTCAGGACGGTCTTCCAGTACTCGGGGTCCAGCCGGCGCGGGTGCTGCTTGTACTTCCCGTTGGCGTACGGCTGGTAGGGCTCTGCGCCCAGGCTGGAGAGGGCGCCGTCGCAGTCCCGCGCCGGGTCCCCGTTGCACAGCCAGTCGGCGGCCTGCAGTTGGGGCGCCCCGGCGGCCGCGGGCCAGCCCTCGCACGTGTACCCCAGCTCCTCCAGGACCTCGCTGTTCTGCTTCTGCAGCTTGCGGATGGAGACCATCAGACGCTTTATGTCCCCCAGCACCTTCAGCTCCAGGGGCGGGGAGCGGAGGTCGTACTCGGTCAGCGACAGCAGCGAGGTGCCGTCCAGCCGGTGCCTGTTGCACAGGAGGTCCACGTAGTCGCTGAAGCCCTCCTCCCTCAGCCACCGGGCCACGTGCTTCGTCGTCCAGCGCCGCACGGTCAGCTGGCCTCCTGCCATCTCCGCCTGCCCTGGCTGGAACAGAGGAACACGGGGGAGGTTACTAGCAGCAGCAGCAGCAGAACTCCCTGGACAGCCGCCTCGGCTCCAGAGGGCGGGGGGCGCAGAGCGCACTCGGCCAGAGTCGGCGCTAAGCCTCAGAAGAAACTTAGCCCTGTCCTGCAACAGGAGAGGAACAAAGGCCAGCCTTTCTCTAAACAAACAGACAGAGATGACAGAGGGCAATTCACTTTGCATAGACGTTCGGTATCAGCGGGCTTGATAAAGAGGGGGAAAGTCGCAGGCTTTCAGGCTGTGTGGTTACCATGAGGAAGCCGTATAAACGGTACACGTGTGATGCATGCCTTTCACTAAGATCCTTTCACTTGGCTTGTGGAACTGTGATCGTTGGCAGGAACATGACCTGGACAAATGTGACTGTTTACTGGTCTCTGAGCCCTTGATGGCACATGTCATCCCAGTTCAATCTGCAGGTGTTCCATGGGCCTCAAGTCCGAGGAGTAGGGTATTTATGAAATTAACCGTCAGGTTTTCATCTTGCAACAAGCTGTTGTTACACGAGCACAAGTGGGGTCCCAGGACATGATCGGTGTAGCATCATGCAGCCCGGCTGTCATCAACTTCTACAAGAGGAGGCTGAGAGATTAGATATTCCTGATCACACCAGCACACCTAGACCTCCCCATCAACTGGTCTGTTGTACAGCAATCAGCATGATGTGCGCATGTCACACTCACTGAGACCCATCTGGCTGTTCTACAGAAAACTCCACTTGTTATTGGAGAATCTGGCTCCACTGCCGACAGGTTCTTCCAGGTAACTCAGTCTAGCCTGCAACACGCTTATGGCGGAAGACCATCTCCTCTTGATAAGAGTGAAACATTATTTCCTTTCTCGATTTTCACCAGGAGATTAAACCACCTCATCACCTGAGCCCAATCCACTCTCTCACTAATGAAGTGCTCTTACAACAAAGGCACTGAAGAGTATCAGTCAGTCATGAATGATCAATTACTCTAAATGGTGCCAAAAACATTTAATCGATAGCCAAAACCCTTAGCCTTCAGTTTCTAAAATATTAAACCAGTGGGGGGTTTCTTTTGATATTCAGCAGTTTCAGTCAGGTTCTCTGGCATGTCTTCCTGTCTTAAACTTCCCGAGAGTGGCTTCTGAATACTGGCATTTAATCACTTTATTCATCAGTGAAACCGACGATGGCTAAGTGCTTCCTTCTTGAATTTCTAATAATGGTAATACGCCATTATGTCACAATATCCTCAAAGCCTCCATACTGTACAGATCTATTGACTGTGCCAACTTTAACAGGCATGCTCAGAAAAACTGGTCCCAGAGCCCTAAACTCTTCCTCTCTTAAAAAAATGTTTTCAGGACTGGGCATTTTATCTGCGTTTCATGACCTTTAGTCAGATTTCTAACAAGTCATATCAGTTAACTTTTTTTTTAAAGCTGAAAACATCCTTACTGAACACAAAATGAATATGCTGTGTCTAATGTAGAACGATGATCTAAGTTCATGTGACTTTTTTCCCCCCCATTATTGCTGTGGTCAGAATTTTAGGCATTAGCAATCTAGACCAAAAGCCACAGCAGCATTTATTTTGAAACGGAGATTATGATGTAGAGATTTGTGGACAGGGACAGACCATTACATTACGCATTACATCACAGATAATAGTGCTTAAGGCCAGGATAGTCTTGATTTTCATACAAGACAAAATAAAATCACAATTTCTAATGTTGTATCATGCTGACTCACTCCACAAGAGTGTTTCAAAAATCTGTTCATAAATGCTTACAAAATTAATTTCTTTTGATCTCAACTTTTAAAAACAGCACTGGCACAGACCATTTCCAACTCGTAGCCTCTACTGCTGAGTCTTAAATTAAATACTCAGAGTGTGGATGCAGGTCCTGAGACTTATACTGCCCTTGAAACGTACAGACGTCAGAAAGACCTAGCAGCTTTGAAGGTTGAATACTCCAATGCCTGGAGATTAATGAAGACAGAGAGCGAAGAGTTGGTGAGAAAATCTAGCACTGTCTGAGAGCAGAGCCAAGTGAAGAGCAGCCCAGGAAGAAGAGGACCCCACAGTCTCTCTCAAGTGGGGAATGCCATGGAAGAGCTACGATCCCAGAGGGGGTATGGAAGAACAGGATAGCCCAATTGAAAGGTGAAAAATTAAGATGACACCCTGACAGTGGCAGGATTGCGTTTGTAATGTTCGCTGCTCATGGAAATTGCAGCCCAAGTTTCAAAGGAAGAAGCCAAACGCAGGGAGAAATAAGTAGCTGAGCAGGCAGCAGTAAACATGTAAACACACAAAACACAATTCAGGGTCACAGCCCGAGAACACAGTGTTCATAGCCAGGCAAAAGACAAGGGACAGTACAGAGAAACACAGTTGAGAGCAGTAATCTGAATATGTAACAGGGTTCAAAGCCAGAAAATAACAGTACAAAGAAGCAAACCCAGGAGACAAAGTCAAGCCAAACCAGGGATGAGGATCCAAAGGCAAAGGCGCCAGACAAGGAAGAGAGCCAGAGAATTTAGAGGCGCCTAGTAAACACTACAACAAAGCACAGAGCACTGCTGGAGCAAATTTGGAACAGCCTGCTTCCCCTGCGATGGGAGTGGTCAAGAACTGCCCACAGGTGAAACAGGTTTCCTGTCAGGCTATGTATCCATGACAACAGGCTCCAATTGACAGATGAGCGAGCTGTGGCTCGCTGCCATGGAAACAATAGCTTCCTTAGCAGTGTTCCAGCAGGGATGAGCATGATAGTGATGGCATGTGCTACAGCGCTCGGACTTGTCGCAGGTGGGCTGTACACCACTGCAGACAAACCAACACCAGCTCATACCATCCAACAGCGTTCAGCTGATTTAATACATGACAAGTGCTGCAGCTACTCAAAATATAGTCACTTGAGCAAATGGTCAACACATCCATAACACCTATCCACAGCACAATATACAATATACAGGGGGTAATTCTACAGGTTTAATTGAGAAAACTAACCAAACAGAAAATATGATGCAAGAAGAATATGCTGCACACAAATGAAAACTTAAATTTCTGACTCAATCTGGCTTTTTCTACCCCATATTTTAAGGTTTTACAAAAATAGAAATTATATTTGTGCCTCACTTCAAATAAGATTCTACTAGCAGTTTTTTCCCCTAACTGGACAACTAACACATTAACAGTTTTTAGAAACCAAACTAACTGCCTGTCAAATCAACGCAACATCCATTCATCAGTAAGCCTCCCATTCACTTTCCTTACAGCAGCATTACAGTGATTAAACTATTCCATTAAGGCCTCTCCCATCAATGGGGCCATTTTAATGTTCTAACGGCTTGACAGCTCACCATGGCATCCTGTCTCCATTCCAAAGTTCTCAGCCTAATCTCGAGCAGAAGCTCAATAACCTTTTCTCCTCTAAAGGGGCAGTACCCCGTGCGAGGAAGAATTATGGCGCAAGTTGAAACTTCAGCAAAAACTGGGATTGCTCAAGACTGCCACTTCCCTGTATCAGAGAGTGAACAGTGAACACTTACACCGACAGCCTGGTTTTCTATAATACCAGATAGGCTCATTCCCACTGGTGATCCGTTCCAAGGTTAAGCAGCAACACTTGTTGTGAAAGACACTTTGGCCGTGTTTAAGAAAAAGAATGCTGCCAATATATTAAGGTCACTAAAAAAAACTAAAGCCTTGCCTTTAAACCTAAGGCTTTTATTAACTATTAAGGCCTACGTCTTTCTAAAGAGTCAGTCATTTCAAACTTTTGACGTGTACAAATGGGATAATCTGTGGGGTCAGTGCCAGAAACAGATCAAACTGCATTTAACAAATCAAGACTTCTGAATACACAGTAGATGTTAGATATATACTGTACCGCACAACACATTTATAGGTCTGGTCTGAGAGAAACTGAAAAGTTGTCAGTGTGTATAAATTTAGTCCCACGGCAAAGCTGAAAAAAATGAATGAAGTGCAATAAAGGAAAAAAAAGTTTCAACTGTTTAGTCACTCTCTCCGATACCAGAGTCTAGGCGTTGGCAAAAGCACTTAAACCCATTTCAAACCGCTTTCTCATTTTAGAGCAAATACACGTGTATTTGATTAGAGTCGGGTGTCAAGGGTGTAACCTCAGGCATGCTGCAGAAATGCAAGCGGAGCTGAAAGATTCAACTTCACTGCTCCTGGGAAATGAAATACACATCAGAAATCTGAGGAAGAGAGTCTGAATGTCATACCTCACTAACAGAGCACAAAGCTCATTCATTATGAAACCAGCTGCTGGGATCTGAAGACCAGTAACCAGTACAAACAGCTAGAAGTTTATCTGAGAGTACTGTGATCAGAGAGACTCGCTCATTTTCACATCACGTGGCAGATGGGAGTCTGCTCCTGCTCGGTTACTCACCGAGCGCACGTGTGCCACTGCCACACCCACAGACCTGTGGATCCACTGCGTTGTGATCAACCAAGTCCACTCCACTAGGCAGGAGACGGCACTCCACACCCACAGGTCCTTCACAGGGAAGGAGTCCAAGCGAAGCTCTAGTTTAAGCCCTGGAAATGGCCAATGCCGTCTGTACTTACAAAGTTATTACAAAATGTTAAAGAGGACATCATTCCAGGCAGAAACTGCCTCTGGAGGTCAGTGACAGATGGGAGTACTCAGAGGTTAAACAAAACAAAGAAGGAGAAATATGGCGTAACACTAGCATGCCAATCACAGTGATCCATGCTCTCATTTCAAAGTGCTAATGGTACAGAAGATCCCAAATTGGATTTAATGTAAACATGAGGCCAGCTGGCAGGCATGCAGGCTTAGCCCTGGTCACAGAAACAATACAATCAGGACAAAACAGAGCTCATATTCAGTTGCCAGACACAAACGAGGCACTGAGCTCAGACACTGGCACCACTGGGAACAGAAGGGAACAGCAGGTGGACTTCAGGAAGTTGGGTAACCGCAGTATTACTAGTAACACTACAGTACAGTACTTTATGCCTTCTGTCACAATCATTTAATAAAAGCTTCAGCCAAATTCAGTAGTAATTATGCCCAAGCACCTCTTGAGCAAAATTTCTCATTCATCTGGATGAGGTTATTATAGGACTCGACTTTGATGCATAAACAAAGGAACTGGGGCGGAGCGGTGGCTCTGTGGCTCAGGATCTGTGCCTGTGGCTGGAAGGTTGCCGGTTCAAATCCTGCGGCCAGCAGAGGAATCAGTCTCCATTCGGCCCCTTAACCCCAACTGCTCCAGGGACGCCGTATAAATGCGCTGCACTCTGACCCCAAGCTTCTCGCTCCTCGTCTGTGTGCCTCATGGAGAGCAAGCTGGGGTATGCGAAAAGACAAATTCCTAATGCAAGAAATTGTATATGGCCAATAAAGTGATCTTATCATTTCTCCTACACCAAATTAGCATACTGATCCATAGCACAGGAGCTTCAGCGGGCAGAAACGCACTTCCACTACACAGCAAGCAGCTGACATGCTGCCACAGCACAGCAGAAAAGTACAGAGAACATAGTGGTCCGCAAACACCCCCACTGAAGATACGATCTTCAGCATGAGGAAAATCAGGTTTCCAGCTAGTCGTGAGTCAAGAAGGGCTTCAAAGATATATTTCATAGACTAGTTAATAAATAGTTGGTTTTGGGAAAGTTTGTGGATTAAATAGGTTAGGCTTCACATAACAGGCAACTACCGGCTCAGAAACTGTAATTTTTGTGTTAAAAAAATCTCAGCAAAGTCCAAAAACAGCTTCATATTTTGACAGCTGAAAGAGCTGCTCCCTAATATCTACCATGGCACAGCAGACAAAGAGCTATAGAAGTGACACTGCCTATAAGATGAAAGCAAATAAAATCCAGCCTCTATAATTAACACACTCTTATCAGTGCCAGCCTGACCAAACCGCAGCAGGACTGTTGAAAGAGCAAAAACAAAGGCACATTACAGCAGCAAGCAAATGGCACAGCCCTTTTGTACCTTAGTGTCCTCTCTTCTTCAGAGATGTAACTCGCTGGAACCAGTGGAAGGACAACTACGATATGTACCGCATTGCCAAAGGAACTGGACAGTCACCAAGTATGCAGGGACTCATTTCTAACTATAGATTTGGTGTCTAGCAGGATGTAAGGTCTACATTTGCAACAATCACAGCTCGGACCCCGTCTTTAACATGAGCCAAAAGCACTTTCGTTAGATAGGCCAGATCCTCAACCGGGTACAACTAAACTCTTAACTAGCTAAGCCAGCTGGTTACTGGCTTAACTGGACCAATTTAGCAGCATCTCCCAGCTCTTCATGTGCTGCTGCTAAACTCCAAAAACCTGCAGTGACACCGGCCCTGCAGGACCAGAACTGGACTCCTCCGTGATGGACTACCCCTCTCAAATTTGAGCTTTCAAGCTTTTAACCCTCAGATGTCGTCCCAAAACAACTCAGACCTGTTGCGCCACATCTGCACACATGTGAGAGTCGAGCCGAAATACTACCCATACTCAGGCCTGTACTTGTCCCACGGAGCAGAACGTTAACGGTTAACTCCACTCCTCGCAGCCCAAACACATGCCACGCTGACATGGACAGAGAGAGACATCTCCACACAGGACTAATTCCACACCAGGAGCCTCCCACATCTGCAAAGTGAGCACTGCCCACAAGGGTCAGCTCTGGGTCTGACTGACACAGATGAAGGCATGACTTCTAGCACCTGTATCTGAAACTAGGTCCACTAATGCACCAACTAACTAAAAGCCATGAGCCACACTTAGCACCAACATCTTTTACCTATAGACGCCTAGGGAATTCCAGACCAGCAACATTACCTACCCTCCTGAAACAGTTAAGTCAAAAGAACACTTTCATAAATAACTTCACTTCAGGTACAAGTGCCAAAGGCACTGCAGGACCCTGTGTGAGAGGCTGAGCGATCAATGACTGATTAGTGCTCTCTCTGTGATGCACCACACAGGGCACTCAGCACAGGACTGGTGCCAGAGAAAGCCTTCCTCACCTTACAATGTGGGAGACGGGGCCTTATCAATACAGGGGATATCACTATCTTGAAACCTGCTTAAATTACTGCTTTTCAGTGCTCTTGATAAAGGTGCTGCATAACAGTTATGCAGTCTGTATAGATATAATCTCAGCCTGCAAAGTCAAAGTCCTCAAGGATCAAGCTACCTCTAATATTCCAGTTCAAACAAGCAAGAGTTCTCCTAAACCAAAACGCAACACAAACAATACCTAGTCTATCAACAAAAGGAGATTAAATAAGTAACATTTAGCCTACTTTAATGCTTGTGGTCTTGAACATTATAGTTTTTCCTTCATTTTTCACATGTAGCTTGAAGCAAGTGTAACTCTTAATTATAAATATTATTGTAAAATAAACATATATAATATAAAGAGACGTTTAATGTCTGCCGGCTATGAAAGGGTCTTGAAAACAGTCAACCATGAGGTAACACACGTAATCTCAGTTTTACGTGGCTCTGGGCGAACTCGGACAAACTCGCAGATAGATCAGAGTGTATTTAATAGCTTTGTCAAGAAGGTGAAAAAAACGTTAAAATGTCCCCTTTAAGAAGCGAGAAATAAACGGATAACACGCCAATGAATTGTGCTCTGGGTCCCTGTACACTTGCACACACGAAAATACAAGAATCGCTTTTCGACAGAGCCCTAGTAGATAAAAAGTCTCTACTTATAGTACTACCCCAGAATTAAAGGACTAGAACTTCGCTTTCTCAATAAGTGAATCGTGAGAGTTCGAGACGTTCTTCACCTTCGTTCACGGCTCTCTTTTCCGTGGGCTAAATGAACGAGATTATAAGCCGCCCTAGCAAAAACAAAAATGATTTAATAAAAAACAACAACTGGATCGCAATTAAAATGACTGGGCTTTCCCCCCCAACGTCTAAATGAGCTTCAGCGAGTGCAACCTGTACGGTAAGAAACACCGAGGTATTTAAACCGAGGAAGTGAACACGAAGACTGCTGTGACACTATCACTTTCCATGAAAGACTAGAGTCCAGCCCTCGTACAACACGGGATACCTTTCCACCGGGGAGAAAAGACTTTCCCCTCCGGGGAACCGATACAGCGCTGGGGCTCCCGCAAGTACCCCCCAACACACACACACTTCGGGGTGCGTGCGAACCCCGACGCTTTCGAAAGCTGTTGTGAAACGAGGGACCAGACCTCGTTTACTCTTCACACGCCGGGGAGGCGACCTGGACCCGCGGGGCCGTGGGTCCGAAGCCCTGCTGTTGTCCCGCCGAGTCAGGTACCTCACTCAGACTGCCCCAGCAGCGAGCCCCGCTGTATGTACAGGTCGCTGTTTTAAGGCAGAACTCGATATAAATTTGACTTACGTTTAAATGAGAAAAGGAATTAACCGGAACGCTTAAGGCCAACGGCATTCAAGCTCCTCTTCAAATACGAGGTTTTAACCAGGCAACGGACGACGGTTTAACCCTTTTTTTTTTTAATAAAAGTATTGTACAAAACAAAGAGAGTTCCCAAATGGAGCAGGCAGTCATATAACTGCACAGAGGAGCAGATCCACCTTCCAGTTTTGTTAGAAAAGCTTTTGTATGTGTACGAATTGCGCTCGGCAGCCACCTCTCACCAGCAGCCCCCCATCGAGACGCGAAACAAAACGAAGACCGCTTACGTACCGCGACGCTCGAATAAACAGTGAAATAAAGCAACCGATTACAAATCAGAGCTAGCAAGTGAGAGGGGCTGAAAGTGCACTGATGAAGACAATTCTGGTGCCCACCCAAACCAAGCTCACTAACAGGGGGACAGGACTGAGTAACTCACCCGAGGCGTCTGCTCCTTCGACAACCGTAATCACAGCTGATGAAGTAATCTTCTCACATGCTGCTGTGCGACCTGTTCCCGGAACGCCTGGCAGTCGGAGAGTTTCTCCAAATCATTGCTCTCTGACTGAACGAACATGCTCCGACTGCGCACCGTAAACAGGAACTGCGAAGTTATTCCACAGGAAGACGGCGCCGCCAAGGCCGCTCTGACAGGCCGAAGACGCGGAGCCCTTAAAAAGTGCGACCTCTGCTGGTCACTTGGGCACAGGCGTGATGGTGATCATACTCGGGTCACAGGTGACTTATCTTGGCCATACAGCCGTTTCCAGACTAAGTTTCAAAACTCTCGGCTGCACACACCTAAATATACCTTCTGTTTTTTAGCACCAATTTTGTGGGTGAGAGGAAATTGGAGCAGCAGGAGAAATCCCACACAAACATCAAGAGAACGTGCAAACTCCACATGGAAGGCCAAGGTGTGAAGTATCGATTAGGGCTCTAGACTCCAGACTAGATGGAAGTAGGACCCTGGGGTGTTGCTATTATACCCTGGTACTTTGCTCAGGGGCACCATTTAGTGCTCTGCTGTCTAAATTTGGGGTGGTGTGGTGGCTCTGTGGCTAAGGAGCTGTGCCTGTGGTTGGCAGGTTGCCGGTTTGTATCCTGTGGCCGGCAGAGGAATCCTACTCCGTTGGGCCCCTGAGCAAGGCCCTTAACCCCAGCTGCTCCAGGGGTGTTGTATAAATGGCTGACCCTGCGCTCTGACCCCAAGCTTCTCTCCCTGTCTGTGTGGCTCATGGAGAGCAAGTTGGGGTATGCAAAAAGACAAATTAATACAAGAAACTGTGTATCGACAATAAAGTGATCTTAATCTTAAATAACTTCTCCATCTCTTGAAAATGGACACTTGTTCTCAGCCGACATGTCTAATTAAAAAAAAGAGATTTTGTAAAAAGCAGGGAAATTCTTCACCTGGTGTTTACTGCTTTTGAGGTTTATGTAATAAAATGGCTCATAATTACTGTTGTTTTCCAGTTCAGACTAGTTGAAACCATGTATTGGCTTTTAGATATGCTGTGAGGGTTACTTGATGTCTGCAGGGTTAAAAGCAGCATCAGCACTTCAGTAATTACTGCCTTATTAACTTCTATCAAGAGATGAAATGGAAGTGTATTTTGTCTTCTTCCTTGTAATTATTGTTAGGTGAAGTATTTGGACAATTTTAAATAAATTGTTTATTGAAAACATTTTTACATGCAGCAGGAGAAAAACTCTGATTCCCTAGTTAGTTATTAATTATACTTTTAGTATAGTTATATTATTAGTTATACTTCGTTATGTTTTCATTTACTCTCCAAACTGACAGGCTGTTGAAAACTTTTGAGCAACTTTTTTTGCTCTCAATGTTGTTCACCCTCTCCTCAGCCAAAATATGAATGTATTCCAAACATAGCTGTTTTTCGATCATCTCCCTTTATTCCAGTCAGGGAATGTAAACAGTTAAAGGTTATTTTGAGCTGCAACAAAATGTTGGCACTGAGAGACTGGGTATTAAGAAGGGACTTTCTGCAGCACTGCTCAAGAGGTCAAGTTACACCTGTTCGTAAATATCCCTCTCCCAGATACTGCAAAATCTGAAATAAATAAGCTGTAGGAAATAGGAAAGAAGAATTTAAAATACAGCAATACTTAAAGCATGTCAGTGGCAGAAAGCAGTACGTCTACTGGATCGGAGGCACCCTCTGAAGACTGCAGCAGCAGTGCTCAGCCTGGCAGTCCCTCTGTAAAAGAGCTGGAGGACCTCTTGTACAGCGGTAAATCGTCCTGTAACCATGTCGATGAGGTGTGGCCCAACCTCTTCCTCGGGGACATGTGAGTATGACTGCAAGCACTGCTGTGCTAACCATGTCTGGAAAAATACTAAAGTCAAATGTATTTACAGTGCACCTGTTCCTGAATTTTTGTTTTTTTCAATCTCTACTTTTGTTACAGAGCACTACCAACTGTTGCCCTCTCAAAATATACAAAAAACAATCTCTGTTATAATCATACTAAAGCTTGTGTTTTCAAATGCCCTGTAAATGGTGTCACCTCCCACAGTTTCTTTATGTGTGCTGGTTGCTTAACGTTGTGGGAGGATATCGCCACAGAACATCCTGTTACTGCTCTGCCCTGCCTGCGAAAGGTGAGCAGAGCTCTTTCTTCCTATGTTTCTGTTGTAGGTTTGTGGCCCATGACAGATACAGGCTGTGGAAGATGGGGATCACTCATGTCCTCAATGCTGCTCATGGAAAGATGTACTGCCAGGGAAGTCATGATTTTTATGGTACAACCATAGACTACTATGGAGTCCCAGCTCATGACCTGCCAGAGTTCAACCTGTTCCCCTTCTTCTACCCCTCTGCTGAGTACATACACAAGGGTTTGAGCACTCCAGGGGGTAAGGACTGCCTTCACTCAGCTCTTGGTGATTGTGTGTGTGTGTGTACTGATGCCTCTTTAAACAAGTAATCTGAAATTCCTCCAGTTAAAGATAACTGGATCGCAAAAGTCCTCCCTTTCATGAAGAACTGGTCATATTTACAAAGCAAAGAAAATTAAAACTGTCTGAAAAAAAAAGGACCAAACGTGAGATGTGAGGCAGGTGTGTAAGCGATACATTTGTTGATCTTATCGTTATTGGGCTAAGAAATGGAAACGTCCGGCTTGCTGTGCTTCCTCTGCAGCCAGAGTGTTTGTGCACTGCGCGGTGGGCGTGAGCCGGTCTGCCGCCCTGGTGCTGGCCTACCTGATGATCCACCACCATCTCTCGTTGGTTGATGCCATCAAAACAGTAAAGGAGAGCAGGTGGATTTTCCCCAACAGAGGATTCCTGAAACAGCTGAGGAGCTTGGATATGAAATTACGCCCACAAAGACACTCAGCCGAGGGGAAACCATGACTACTGCATCAACTAGCGATTTCAATCATTTCAGAATTAATGTGCTCGATAAACAAAGATTGAGCATGTTGTGGAATTAAAGGACAGAAAATTTACCCAGTGGACTTGAATCAGTGAATCAGAGGGCACAAATGGAAATTGTGTGGAAGTGCATTTAAAACCCAGAACTGGCAGCACGTACTTACCCAAAGAGTTGTGGGAGTGTGGAACAAGCTGACTATTCATGTTGGTGAAACCGATACACTAGATTCTTTCATGAAACAGCTGGTTGAGATCTTTGGATTAATTAAGTACTAATTACCAAACAGGCTAGACGGGCCCAACGAACTCCTCTCGTTTACAACCATTTGTAATCTGACATAAAAACTCTAATCTTTACTGGAGTAAGATTTGGATATTGTTCCCACTGTTTCACTCCTAATTTTACGTTTTATTTTCTGAAAGCAAGAGCTTTCTTTTCTTCACATGGAACACACTGGAAACTGCTTCTCGTCACCCACCTTAAAGGGTCCTTCAGAAGGCCAACTGCTTCTCCGGTGAGATTAAGTCGAACTAAGCAAACAGGCCGAAAAGCTCTTGAAATAGCTCTTGAGCTGTATCACTTGTTTACACACTGGAGGGCCAGTGTGTCTGCAGGTTTTCAAAGTCCTTTTAAAACAGCAGCTCCTCGAGACCTGATAGACACTGCTAGACCAGTTCAGTTAAGCCCATAACCAGCTGGTTTGTTTTTGCTATAAGCAGAGTTGGAATGAAAATCCACAGACACATTGGTCCTCCAAGACCAGGTTTGGCCAGCCCTGCTCTAAGAGTTTACTTTAACTGTGTTGTCCTTCCATTATCTTTAGCATTCTTATCATTATCTGTCTAGTTTTTGCTGTCCCCTATCCTCCTCTCCTGCATTTACCCTCCCGAGGGTGTACTGTGCGCGATGCACCCTGTGCTAAATCCAGTAACAGGACGGTGACATTTAATAAACACCTGTTCAAATGAATCAGAGGCTGCGTGGAAGAGATGAAGGGAATTGATGGCAGGAACGTCCTCTCGTTCAGCCGGAACCGAGAAGCAAATGGCATCCTCAGGAGAATGGCGAAACGGCCTGCTTTGTGTCCGGGACCTGGAGAATATTCTGGACACCTGCAAACTAGAGCTGACTCAAGTAGACGAGGTCTGGCCAAACTTGTATATTGGAAACGTGTAAGTACGGAGCTTTCCGAAAGTCCACAATCGTAATATGTCAGCTGTTCTGATCTTGGCAGCAGAGATATTCGAGCTTATTCTTAGTTTGTCTGTCTGTACAGTTTTTGAGAGACAAAGTTGAGAGTTAGTACTCGGTGTTACTGTCCTTTATGTCTTTTGGTTCCCTTTCTGTGCCACTTGAACTAGTTTCTCCCTCGCTCGGGGAAGGCCTCTGCGCAGACTAGTATTGCAACATCACACAGAGCCAGCTGACAAAACAGCACTGTTAGGAAAGTAAAAATCAATCAAAGTTCACTCTCTGTTTTGCCAGTCTGTGATGTTCAGGTCCCCGTTGCTTTTCGTGGTGCTTTTAAATAAACACTTGTTAAAGAACAGCGTGGTTATTAAACCGCACCATTTTCTGCTTCTGTATGCTGTGATATAGCGACTAAATAACGCTTACTGACAAGAACACCAGTATGGAGGAGCACCAGCACTTATAGAGATTTTATCACCACATGCCTGAGCTCTTGCCTAGAGAATCTATGGTTTTAATTGCATTCCTTAACTCTGCCAGAACAGAATACAGTGAGTAAATATCCTAGTGGAGTGATATTGGTAGCCAGGGAAGAGTAAAAGTGTATTTTGAAGTATAATTAGATTTTTATGACTGTCTTCAACTACCTAAAGTGTTGTGGGGGTCGGGAACAAGCTACCCACCCATGTTGTTGAAGCCAGTACCCTGGCTTCTTTCAAGAAACAGCTATATGAGATCCTGGGATCAGGTCATATTAATTACCAAAGTGCTAAATCGCACTTAATTCGGCTGGTGAAGTCATTCCTCTAGCTTCTCTGCTAGATCTGCTGCGTGGTGGGGCTGCAGGCAGATAACGGCAGCTGAACATCACCCAGGTGGGGGGGGGTCCGCTATCACGACACAGGTCAAGTGCTTTGCGGACCTCTGGAATAAAAAGTAGGCGCAAGGAATCATCACTTCAATGTGTGCTTTTCTGAGGCTGCTGTTTTTCTGACACTACAGGGCAATAGCCCAGGACAGGAAAGCCTTACAGAAAATGGGTGTCACTCACATTCTGAACGCCGCACATTCCAAGCAGGGCAGCATAGGGGACCAGGCCTTCTATGGAGAGAAGATTCAGTACTTCGGCATCCCAGCAGATGACTCCCCGGACTTTGACCTGAGTGTGTACTTCAAACCAACCGCATGCTTCATTCACAAAGCCCTGAAGAAGACAGATGGTAAGATACCAGTCTTGGCTTTACAAAGGCACAATGTGGACAAGATAATATAGGGTGCCTTCAGTTTTCCATCATTCATCAGGACATTCTATGGAAATTAATCAACAGCAGCAATAATCTTTATCCCTCCTCTGCTTGCAGGTATTCTGAAAAGAACACTAACATGATTTCTAAAATACATGAATTTTTGAAGATGATAAAATTGAACCGAACTACAGCAGCATTACTTTTGAAGTGAGTAGGAAGTGAGATTGTGGGAGAGGCCTGTCTCTTTAAATTAATATCCTGGAAAAAAAAAAAAACAGAACAGAACCTTTCACTCTATAGTTAGCTCTATAGATGAAGGAAAACATTCAACCAAATAAACAGCAACCAGTTCAACAATTCAAATACCTTGTGCTGCCAGGATATGAGAGAGGCTCTGTTCCCCCCTCTGTCTTACCTGTTTTCAGGCTTTTGTGTTCTGCACAGTTTCTCCCCCAAAACCAAGTAGCCAATAGTTGTTGTACACTTGGTCTGTCTAGTGCTATTAGAGGCCAGCTTATCTTGTAGCCTCTGTGGTTTATAATGGATGTCTCCAGACATCATCAGCTGTGTTTCTCCAGATACAAAGCAAGGTTAAACTTGCCCAATGTTTAGATTCCTGTAGCCTCTTGCCCTTTCCTGAACAGATGCAGCAGATTATAGCTATTTTAGACCTCACATCCAGAAACTGAAAGCCTGAAGTTCTTGCACAG